CTTGAACCCGGGAGGCAGAGGTTCCTGTGAGCTGAGATCATGCCACTGCACTCCAGCCTGGGCGACAAGAGCAAAACTCCATCTCCAAAAAAAAGAAGTATAGGTGGGGAGGGGTTTTGGAGGGTTTTTTAAAGGCACTGTTAGGTGTGGGTCAGTGAAACCTTAGGATGCCTTCAAGATTGTACTGGAGGCCGGGCGCGGTGGCTCAAGCCTGTAATCCCAGCACTTTGGGAGGCCGAGATGGGCGGATCACGAGGTCAGGAGATCGAGACCATCCTGGCTAACACGGTGAAACCCCGTCTCTACTAAAAATACAAAAACTTAGCCGGGCGAGGTGGCAGGCGCCTGTAGTCCCAGCTACTCGGGAGGCTGAGGCCGGAGAATGGCGTGAACCCGGGAGGCGGAGCTTGCAGTGAGCTGAGATCCGGCCACTGCACTCCAGCCTGGGTGACACAGCGAGACTCCGTCTCAAAAAAAAAAAAAAAAAAGATTGTACTGGAGTTGTAAAGAGTGCTAAGCCGAATTACTTTCCTATTGGAGCTATAATATGCAAGTAAATAAAAAATCATTTGCTGGTCAGGCGCAGTGGCTCACACCTATAATCCCAGCACTTTGGAAGCCAAGGCAGTGTCTCACGTGTCCGTGTGAAGAGACCACCAAACAGGCTTTGTGTGAGCAACAAGGCTGTTTATTTCACCTGGGTGCAGGCGGGATGAGTCCGAAAAAGGAGTCAGCAAAGGATAGTGGATTATCATTGGTTCTTATAGGTTTGGGATAGGTGGTGGAGTTAAGAGCAATGTTTTGGGGGCAGGGGGTGGATCTCACAAAGTACATTCTCAAGGGTGGGGAGACTTACAAAGAACCTTCTTAAGGGTGGGGGAGATGACAAAGTACATGGATCAGTTAGGGTGGGGCAGAAACAAATTACAATGGTGGAATGTCATCAGTTAAGGCTATTTTCACTTTTTTTGTGGATCTTCAGTTGCTTCAGGCCATCTAGATGGATAAGTGCAGGTCCCTGGGGATATGATGGCTTAGCTTGGGCTTAGAGGCCTGACAGGCAGGAGGATCACTTGAGCCCAGGAGTTTGAGACCAGCCTGGGCAACTCAGCAAGACCCCATCTCTACAAAAAATGCAAAAATCAGCCGGACATGGTGGTGCCCACCTGTAGTCTCAGCTACTCGGGAGGCTGAGGTGGGAGGATCACCAGAGCCTGGGAGGTCAAGGCTGCAGTGAGATATGATCACACCATTGTACTCCAGCCTGTGCAACAGGGTGAAACTGTCTCAAAAAAAAAAAAAAATGGCGACCGAGTGTGGTGGCTCATGCCTGTAATCTCAGCACTCTGGGAGACAGAGGCAGGGGGATCACCTGAGGTCGGGAGTTCAAGACCAGCCTGACCAACATGGAGAAACCCTGTCTCTACTAAAAATACAAAATTAGCCGGGCATGGTGATGCATGCCTGTAATCCCAGCTACTCGGGAGGATTGCTTGAACCCAGGAGGCGAAGTTTGCGGTAAGCAGAGATCGCACCACTGCGCTCCAGCCTGGGCAATAAGAGCGAAACTCCATCTCAAAAAAAAAAAAAAAAATGGCCTTGCTAAAGAAATAAAAACAAGGCCGGGCGCGGTGGCTCAAGCCTGTAATCCCAGCACTTTGGGAGGCCGAGGCGGGTGGATCACGAGATCAGGAGATCGAGACCATCCTGGCTAACATGGTGAAACCCTGTCTCTACTAAAAATACAAAAAACTAGCCAGGCGCGGTGGCGGGCGCCTGTAGTCCCAGCTACTCGGAGGCTGAGGCGGGAGAATGGCGTGAACCCGGGAGGCGGAGCTTGCAGTGAGCGGAGATCGCGCCACTGCACTCCAGCCTGGGTGACAGAGTGAGACTCCGTCTCAAAAAAAAAAAAAAAAAGAAATAAAAACATACATACACACACACTAACTGAGTTGGAGGAGAGAGAGTATGTAAGTCACAGAAGCTAAGAGATCACCCCATCAAACCCATATAAGGTCTAGCCCCCCTGGAATTTATTCTGGCATCTAGTGTGAGCGAAGGGGCTAACACAAATTTCCCCCGAAATCATTAACATAGGATTTCTCAGCCTCAACCTTGTTGACATTGGCCCCGAGTCATTCTCTGGGGTGGGGCCATCCTGTGCACTGAAGGGCTTTCAGCAGCACCTCTGGCCTCCACCCACTAGATGCCAGTAGTGCACACAGACTCACACACACACACACCCGCCCCCATCTGGGTACAGCAACCAAAAACATCTTCAGATATTGCCAAGTGTCCCCTGGGAGGGCAACCTCACCACCCCCCCACGCCCCCCCCCAAACACACTGTTGAGAACCACTAGTCAAATTTAGTGGTCATTGGGCAGGGCACAATGGCTCACATGTGTAACCCCAGCACTTTGGGGGGCTGAGGTGGGAGGATCGCTTGAGCTCAGGCGTTGGAGACCAGCCTGGGCAACACAGCAAGACACCATCTCTACAAAAAAATACAAAAATTAGCCAGGCATGGTGGCGCATGCCTGTAGTCCCAGCTACTTGGGAGGCTGAGGTGGGAGAAACACTTGAGTCCAGGAGTTTGAAGCTACAGTGAGCCATGACTGTGCCACTGCACTCCAGCCTGGATGACAGGGCAAGACCCTGTCTCAGAAAAAAAAAAAAAAAATTTGCCAGGTGCAGTGGCTCACACCTGTAATCCCGGCACTTTGGGAGGCCAAGGTGGGCAGATCACGAGGTCAGGAGTTCGAGACCAGCCTGGCCAACGTGGTGAAACCCCGTCTCTACTAAAAATACAAAAATTAGCTGGGCATGGTGGTGTGCGCCTGTAATCCCAGCTACTGGGGCAGCTGAGCCAGGAGAATGGCTTGAACCCAGGAGGCTGAGGTTGCAGTGAGCCGAGATGGCGCCACTGCACTCCAGCCTGGGTGACAGAACAAGACTCTGTCTCAAAAAAAATAAAAAAAAATTAGTGGCCATGGCAAATGTGACATCCCAACCACATGGCCAGGATGGCTTACCCCACCCCCCACCAGCAATACACCAAAGTCCTTGAGTGCGGAAGTCAAGGACGGGAGGTGAGGAGGAGACTTCCTGGGAGGGTGGGACTGGAGGCTGTCCAAGGAAGCAGCCCCAGGAGGCCTGACCTTCACATGAGAGGCAGCACAGGAAGTCCAGTCCAGCCTCTGATAATAGTTAGACTCGTGAAAGATACAATTTATTGTTGACTCTGCGGAAGGGGAGACTAGCACCATGTTCTTAACTGGGTCTCACATCATCAGACCCTGGAGGGTGGGCCTTCTTCACCACCCCAGCTTGCAAATGTGAAATTCAGACACAGAGAGGAGCACGAGGGCAAGGTCATATACCTAACGTTACAGGAAATGCAGAGGCAGGGTATATGGTGTGTAATAAATTATAATACTGAACACTGGAATAAAATACAATTCCAGGCTCACGCCTGGAATCCCAGCACTTTGGGAGGCCAAGGTGGGAGGATCCCTTGAGCTCAGGAGTCGGAGACCAGCCTGGACAACATAGCAAGACCCCATCTCTACAAAAAGTCTTGAAAATTAGCCAGGCGTGATGGCGTGCACCTGCAGTCCCAGCTACTTGGGAGGCTGAGGTGAGGGGATTGCTTGAGTCCAGGACATTGAGGCTGCAGTGAGCTCTAAGCATGCCACTGCACCACAGCCTAGGGGACAGAGCAAGACCCTGTCTCAAAAAAAAAAAAAAAAAATATATAGGCTGGGCGCAGTGGCTCACACCTGTAATCCCAGCACTTTGGGAGGCAGAGGTGGGCAGATGGCCTGAGGTCAGGAGTTTGAGATCAGCCTGACCAACATGGAGAAACCTTGCCTCTACTAAAAATACAAAAAAATTAGCAGGGCGTGGTGGCACACACCTGTAATCCCAGCTACTCGGGAGACTGAGGCAGGAGAATCACTTGAACCTGGGAGGCAGAGGTTGCAGAGAGCCGAGATCGCGCCATCGCACTCCAGCCTGGGCACCAAGAGTGAAACTCCGTCTCAAAGAAAAAAAACGGCAAAAGGATATGGATATAGACATAGATTTAGATATAGATATAGATATAGACACAGATACAGACATAGATATAGATATAGATATAGATACAGATATAGATACAGATACAGATACAGATATATAGATATAGATATAGATACAGATAGATACATAGATATAGATATATAGATACAGATATAGATATAGATATAGATATAGATATATAGATACAGATATAAATATAGATATAGATAGATACAGATATAGATATGGATATAGATATATAGATACAGATACAGATATAGATATAGATATATAGATACAGATACAGATATAGATATAGATATAGATACAGATATATAGATACAGATATAGATATATAGATACAGATATAGATATAGATATATAGATACAGATACAGATACAGATATAGATATAGATATATAGATACAGATATAGATATAGATATATAGATATAGATACAGATATAGATATATTATAATACTGGAGAGGAGTGGCGTTATTTTGGGAGAGCGAGGCAGCCCTGGCGACTCACTATCCCCTCCCAATATGTAACCCAGCTGTCTTACTCCTCCACTCTCCTCCTTGGGCCAGGCTGGGGCTGACCCACCTGGGACGAGCTCAATGCCCAGTAGAGGTGTACCAGGGGAGCCCACCAGCATCTGCACCCAGTCATGGGAGGAAAATCGTGGTTTTACTATGCAGCTTCAGGACAAGCCCTCCGGGACCCAACCTGCAAACCATATCTCCGCTCCGGAGCCCCCAGCCCAGCCCCACTGGGAGGGCTCGCGGTTAATGCAAGGATTCTGGCGAATGCAGTCTGAGTAGAATGAGAAGAGGGGCTGCGGACCGAGAAAATGAGGCAAAGCCTGGGACAGGAGGGTGGAGGCTAAGGGGGAGGGGCAGGACTTCTCAGATGCCTGTTTACCAGGCGCTCCCCTCCCTTCCTCCGCCCAATTTCTGCGGGTGGTCAAGCCTGGCTGGGGGCTGGGACGGTGGAGAAGGCACTGGTGGAGCCCTAAGGGGCCTCACCCACAAGGCAGGGGTCGGAGTACGTGGGGTCCCGGACACCTCCAGGAGGCCGCTGGGGAGGCAGGTCCCTGCACCACCTCCCCCCACCCCAGCCCCCTCTATCATCCCGGGGCGGGACCAAGGGGCGGAGCGGGAGGGTGACCGGCCGTGACGCGTGCCCCGCCCGCTCATATAGCGGCTCCCGGGGGCGCAGGGACCGTGCTCCGCCGTCTCCGCCGCATCTTCCACCCGCGCCGCCGCCGCAGCTCCCCGCGCTCGCGCCACCGCCGCCGCGTCCACCCTCAGCGCCACCGCCATGCGGGAGATCGTGCACCTGCAGGCCGGCCAGTGCGGCAACCAGATCGGGGCCAAGGTTCGAGAGGGACGGGGCCCGGGGAGGAAGCAGCGACCCCGAGGAGCGGCCCGGGGTCGGTCCCCGGAGCACCCCCCAACCTGGGAGCCTTTGGAGAGGAATGAGGTCCCCAGGAGGCCAGCGCGTCCCAGGGCCCGTGGGGGAAGGGTCGCGGGGTGGGGGTGGCAGGGCCAGGCTGGGAACAAAGAGGCTGCGGAGAGTGGGAGCCAGCCTTCTGTCCGCCTGTCACAGCTGGGCCCACAGCTGGGCCACTGTCCCATCCTCACGCACAAAGAACCCCCATGCCTCCTCCGGGCTGCAGCCTGGGTGCGCTGGCACCAGCCGGCCCCGCTGGGTGCTGACTCGGCTGCACCCCGCCCCCACCGTTCCTTCTTGCTGCCTCATCCTCGCCCCGACACCATGCCTCTAGGTCCCCCGTTCACCTTGCTGGGGGAGAGGTGGCAGCTGGGGAGGTAGTTGGGGGCTGGCGGTACTCTTCCGCCTGGCCACCGGCTTCCCCTCTCTCAACTCTTCCGACCACCTCTCTCTCTAGTTTTGGGAGGTTATCAGTGACGAACATGGCATCGACCCCACAGGCACATACCATGGGGACAGTGACCTGCAACTGGAGAGGATCAACGTGTACTACAACGAGGCCACAGGTAGGGCGAAGGAGGCCCCTTCCAGGTGGGGAGGGGCAGCTGGGAGGGAACAGGATGCTACCGGGCGCCTGTGGTTCCTGGCACGCACCAAACTGCCCTCCATCTGTTTCCCTGCAGGAGGGAATTATGTCCCCAGAGCGGTGCTGGTGGACCTGGAACCCGGCACCATGGACTCTGTCCGTTCCGGCCCCTTCGGTCAGATCTTTCGGCCCGACAACTTTGTGTTTGGTGAGTCCCCCAGCAGGGAGCAGAGGCTGGAAAACCTCCTTATTCTTGCTAACACCACTGAGTCAACAGCCACCACCGGAGCCCACAGACCAGAGAGAGGTTGGACAGGGCATCAGCCACCAGCCCTGCATCCAGGGCTGTGATGGGGGGGTCGCTCGGGCCACTGTGAGAGCCCTGGGGAGGGTGGATACAGAGAGAGGGGTTCAGGGAAGGCTTCCTGGAGGAGGTGGCATTTTAATTCAACAGTCTGAACCGGAACCAGACTGCCTGGGTGCACATCCCCATTCTGCCACTTCATGCATTCAACAAATGGTGAGCACTTACTGCATACCAGGCCCTGTTCTAGAAGTTGGAGATACAGGGAAGAATCAAATAGACAGAGCTCCCTGTCTGCCCCAGTGCAGCTCACATTCTGGTGGATATGTGAGCTGATAGGCCACAAAGGAGATAAATAAGTAAAGCTCAGCCAGGGGTTGATTCAGATGGATAACTTAGGTTGGGCTCCTCAGCCTTTCTGGGCCTCAAAATCCTCTTTTTTTTTTTTTCAGACAAGGTCTGTCTGTCCTGCTGTCACCCAGGCTGGAGTGCAGTGACATGATCGCGGCTCACTGTCGCCTCCACCTCCGGGCACACGTGGTCCTCTTGCCTCAGTCTCCCAAGTAACTGGGACTACAGTGCACCACCACATCCAGCTAATTTTTTAGTCTTTGTAGAGAGGTGGGTCTCTGTGTTGCCCAGGCTAGTCTCAAACTCCTGGACTCAAATGATCCACTCAACTCAGCTGTGCTGGGATTACAAGCATGAGCCACTTTGCCCGGCCTCCTCGTCTTTAAAACAGGGATTTCACTGGGCATGGTGGCTCATGCCTGTAAACCCAGGACTTTGGGCTAAGTCAGGAGGAGAGCTTGAGGCCAGGAGTTCGAGACCAGCCTGGGCACCATGGCGAGACCCCGTCTCTACAAAAAGAAAAAAAATTCTAATTAGCTGAGTGAGGTGGTATGCACCTGCAACCACAGCTACTTAGTGAGGCTAAGGTAGGAGGAGCACTTGAGCCTGGGAGGTCGAGGCTGCCGTGACCTATGATGGTGCCACTGCACTCCAGCCTGAACGATGGCGTGAGACCCTACCTCTTAAAAAGATCAAATAAAACAAGGATTCTAAAATGCTAACTATTAGAATAGTGAGGCTTAGGGTGGGCACAGTGGCTCACACCTATAATCCCAGCACTTTGGGAGGCCGAGATGGGTGGATCACCTGAGGTCGGGAGTTTGAGACCAGCCTGACCAACATGGAGAAACCCCGTCTCTACTAAAAATACAAAATTAGCCAGGCATGGTGGCGGATGCCTGTAATCGCAGCTACTCGGGAGGCTGAGGTAGGAGAATTGCTTGAACCCAGGAGGCAGAGGTTGTGGTGAGCCAAGATCACGACACTGCACTCCAGCCTGGGCGAGAGTGAAACTCCGTCTCCCAAAAAAAAAAAAGTGAGGCCTAAAGCCATTAATATATGTAAAGAATTTAGAACAATGCCTGACACAGAGAAAGAGGTAAATAAGCATTTGTCATTGTTTTCATTACTATCTGCAGTCTAGAATGTGTGTAGGATTTGGACTAGCCAAGGGGCATTGAAGGGAGGAAAGATGTTTAAGACGGAGGGAACAGCATATGTGAAGATAGTGAGGCGTCCACACCCTGGGACCATCCTTCAGGGGAAGCTTTCCTGGCTCCAGCTGGCTGCATGTCCCCACCCTGGCCTCAGGCCCTGGCTCCACCCGCCTCCAATACTCCCAGCATCTAAGATGTGCTAAATGCAGGACCTGTCCTATCTCTCTGAATCTTTTCCTCCCCTTCGCCTCTTGCTTCCATTTTACAGGTGAGAAAACAGGCACAGAGACAGTAGGTGACATGCAGAAAGTCACACCGCAAGCCGGTGAGGCTGCCAGGAGCCAGAGGGTCTGACTACTAGGTCCACATTTTGTTTTGTTTTTTGAGACAGAGTCTCCGTTGCCCAGGCTGGAGTGCAGTGATGCAACCTCCACCTTCCCAATTCAAGCGATTCTCCTGCCTCCCGAGTAGCTGGGACTACAGGCACGTGCCACCACACCTAGCTAATTTTTTGTATTTTTAATAGAGACGGGGTTTCACCATATTGGCCAGGCTAGTCTCGAACTCCTGACCCCAGATGATCCGCCTGCCTCTGCTTCCCAAAGTGCTGGGATTACAGGCGTGAGCAATCGCGCCCAGTCTGAGTCCACACTTTTAATGCTCCTCCCACCCCCTGGCCACCCAGAGACCACAGATTCTCTTGGCCCAACTGCAAACCCTCTGTGGTCCTCCTGAAATCACTCACATCCTTTGGCCAATCTCATTTCATGTTGATTTCACCCAGCCATTTCCCAAGGACCTATTATGGGCCACGGCCACAGAACGGCATCATTATGTTTTGAAATCTTCCAACAGATCAGAGAGGGGAAGTCACTCGTCCAAGGTCACACAGTTTGTCTTGTCAGTCCTGAGAAGCTGGAGTCCAAACCACCAGGCTGGGGAGAAGGAGGGTGGGGGTGACCAGAGATGGCTTCTCTGAGGATGTGGCATTGAGCTGAGACCTGAAGGAGGTGAGGAAAAAGTCGTGTGAATACCTGGTGGGAAAGCCGCCTAGGCAGCCGGAACAACTAGTGCAAAGGCCCCAGGGCAGGACCACACCTGGAAAGCTGAAGAAACAACTGTGGCTGAAGCAGAGTGAGGGAGAGGATGGGACAGGTCCGGCAGGGCCTTGTCGTCTGCAGGGAGGATTTGGGCTTTGACCCCAAGGCAGGTGGGAGCCCTGGAGGGCTGTAGGCAGAAGAGGGACAGGACTTAACTCAGGTGCTCTCAGGTGTCGTCTTGTGGGTACTGTGGAAAGGACAGACTGGGGGATGAGGATAGGAGCCAGGGGACCAGGACAGAGGGAACTGAACTTATCCAGGAGGGCAATGCTGGAGCTGAACCAAGGTGGAAACAGACAAGGAGTGAAAGAATACGTTAGCTGTTCACAGTAATACTGGCCAATATTCTTTTTTTTCCTTTCGAGATGGAGTCTCCCTCTGTCGCCCAGGCTGGAGTGCAATGGCGCTATCTCGGCTCACTGCAAGCTTCACCTTCCAAGTTCACGCCATTCTCCTGCCTCAGCCTCCCGAGTAGCTGGGACTACAGGCGCCCACCACCACATCCGACTAATTTTTTTCTGTTGTTAGTAGAGAGACACAGTTTCACATGTTAGCCAGGATGGTCTCGATCTCCTGACCTCACGATCCGCCAGCCTCGGCCTCCCAAAGTGCTGGGATTATAGGCGTGAGCCACCATACCCGGCCAATATTCTAATACTGATTCTTTTCCTCATGGAGCTTGCATTCCAAGTGAGCTTACAGACAACATGATTAACAAGAAAACACAGGCCAAGTATGGTGGCTCACACCTGTAATCCCAGCACTTTGGGAGGCCATGGCAGGTGGATTGCTCCAGCTTAGGAGTTCAAGACCAGCCTGGGCAACATGATGAAACCCCACCTCTACAAAAAAATAAAAATAAAAAAATTAGCCAGATCTGGTAGCATAAGCCTGTAGTCCCAGCTACTCAGAAGACTGAGGCAGGAGATCACTTGAACCTAGGAGGTCAAGGCTGCCGTGAGCCATGATTGCACCACTGTACTCCAGCCTGGGCAACATACCAAAACCTTGCCTGGAAATGATAATAATAATGTTAATTATTCTTTTTATTGTTGTTTATTTATTTTAGAGACAGGGTCTTGCTCTGGCTCCCAGGCTGGAGTGCAGTGGTGTGATCATAGCTCACTGCAGCCTCCAACTCCTGGGCTCAAGCAGTCTCCCACCTCAGCCTCCCTAGTAACTGGTACTATAGGCATGCCACCACCATGACTGGCTAATATATATATATATATATATATATATGTGTGTGTATATATATATATTTAGAGACAGGGTCTCACTATGTTGCCCAGGCTGGTCTTGAACTGCTGAACTCAAGCAAAGCAATCCTCCCGCCTCAGCCTCCCAAAGTGTTGGGATTATAGGCTTGAGAGCCACCATGCCCAGTCTTGGTTTTTTGTTTTGTTTTTTGTTTTTTTGGTGGTGGGGGCAGGAGGGTGTGGTGTGTGTGTGTGTGTGTGTGTGTGTGTGTGTGTGTGTGTGTGTGTTTGAGATGGAGTCTCACTCCGTTGCCCAGGCTGGAGTGCAGTGGCTCGATCTCGGCTCACCGCAGCCTCCTCCCAGGTTCAAGCGTTTCTCTTGCCTCAGCCTCCCGAGTAGCTGGGACTACAGGTGCCTGCCACAACACCTGGCTAATTGTTATTATTTTTGATAGCTACTAGTATTCCTCCAGGTGGTGGAGAGACAGGGTCGAGGGTGGGGGCTCCCCATAACTGCCTGCGCTTTGTCCCCTCCCCTTCCTTCTCCAGGCCAATCCGGAGCCGGCAACAACTGGGCAAAAGGGCACTACACGGAGGGCGCGGAGCTGGTGGACGCCGTCCTGGATGTAGTCCGGAAGGAGGCCGAGAGCTGCGACTGCCTTCAGGGCTTCCAGCTGACCCACTCGCTGGGAGGTGGCACGGGGTCTGGGATGGGCACGCTGCTCATTAGTAAGATCCGCGAGGAGTTCCCGGACCGCATCATGAACACCTTCAGCGTGGTGCCCTCGCCCAAAGTGTCGGATACGGTGGTGGAGCCCTACAACGCCACGCTGTCCGTGCACCAGCTGGTGGAGAATACGGATGAGACCTACTGCATCGACAACGAGGCGCTCTACGACATCTGCTTCCGCACCCTCAAGCTGACCACCCCCACCTACGGGGACCTCAACCACCTGGTGTCGGCCACCATGAGCGGGGTCACCACCTGCCTGCGCTTCCCGGGCCAGCTGAACGCCGACCTGCGCAAGCTGGCAGTCAACATGGTCCCCTTTCCTCGCCTGCACTTCTTCATGCCTGGCTTCGCGCCCCTGACCAGCCGGGGCAGCCAGCAGTACCGGGCCCTGACGGTGCCTGAGCTCACCCAGCAGATGTTCGACGCCAAGAACATGATGGCCGCGTGCGACCCGCGCCACGGCCGCTACCTGACCGTGGCCGCCGTGTTCCGGGGCCGCATGTCCATGAAGGAGGTGGACGAGCAGATGCTGAGCGTGCAGAGCAAGAACAGCAGCTACTTCGTGGAGTGGATCCCCAACAACGTGAAGACGGCCGTGTGCGACATCCCGCCCCGCGGCCTGAAGATGGCTGCAACCTTCATCGGCAACAGCACGGCCATCCAGGAGCTGTTCAAGCGCATCTCCGAGCAGTTCACGGCCATGTTCCGGCGCAAGGCCTTCCTGCACTGGTACACGGGCGAGGGCATGGACGAGATGGAGTTCACCGAGGCCGAGAGCAACATGAATGATCTGGTATCTGAGTACCAGCAGTACCAGGATGCCACTGCCGAGGAGGGCGAGTTCGAGGAGGAGGCGGAGGAGGAGGTGGCCTAGGCTGCTCCCATCGCTTCCCATCTTTCCCCTTGAGGCTTCTGACCTTTGACCCCCTAGGCCCCCCATCTCTGACCCCTGGAGCCCCACTTTCCCTCCAAGCCTGACTTCCCTGCAACCGTAAGACTTGGCCCTGACCCTAACAATACCTTTGGAGCTCGCTTTACCTCTGGCTACTTCATCTCCAACCCTGGCTCCCCTTTGACCCTTGAGCCCCAATTTATCTTTGACCCTCTTGAGCTCTTCCAACCTTGACATTCCCAGGAGGAGCCCCGCTTCACCCTTCTGACTCTGGGAACGCGCCTTTAACTTTGCGGGTCCTCCTTCACCCCTGACCTCTGCTTCACCTTTGACCCCTGCCCCCCATGAATCCCATTTTACCTCTAGACCTAGAAGTTCTGGTTTATGTTTGACCCCTCCCTCTGAGCTGCACTTCACCTCTGACCTTGCCTCACCTTTAACCCCATCACCTGAGCCCCAGCTCCTACCTCTGACCTCAACTTCTCTTTGACCTCTGAATCCCCTCTGACCCCAACTTCTCTTTCACCCCCATGAGTCCCATTTTACCTCTACACCTGTAAGTCCTGGTTTGCACTGGACCCCTCCCTCCGAGCTGCAGTTCACCTTTGAACTTGCCTCACCTTCCACTCCCCACAGCCCCAGCTCCTACCTCTGACCCCTGCTTCTCCTGGCTCCCACAGGCCCCATATGCGTCCTCCCTGCCTCACTCCCCTCAGCCCCTGCCGACCTTAGCTTATCTGGGAGAGAAACAAGGCCCGGTTCCTGTGAGGAGGAGAGGTTGCCCCTGCCCTCCCTTCCCGCATCCCTGCCTTGCCCTCAATAAATAAATTGATTGTTGTCCTGGATGTTTCTGCCGAATTCCTCTTTCCTCTCTTAGAGCAAATGCCAGCTTTTCTCTACAGGATGGAGGAGGGTACCAATGACATCTCATCTCTGGGTAGGGAGGGATCAGACAGGCCAGGCTAGGCCACCCACTAGTGCTGAGGTGTTGACTAAGCCATTTGCCCTCTCTGAGCCTCAGTCTTCCCACCTGTAAAATGGGGTCATGTGTTTTCCCCCAGGATCCTCTCACAACTGTTACAGGAATAGGGTCCCGATCCAGACCCCCAGAGAGGGTTCTTGGATCTTACACAAGAAAGAATTCAGGGCAAGTCCATAAAGTAAAAGCACATTTATTAAGAAAGTAAAGGAGCCGGGCACAGTGGCTCACACCTGTAATCCAACACTTTGGGAGGCCGAAGCAGGCAGATCACCTGAGGACAGGGGAGACCAGCCTGATCAACATGGCAAAATCCCATCTCTACTAAAAATAAAAAAATTCGCCAGGCGTGGTGGTGGGCGCTTGTAGTCTCAGGTACTCCAGAGGCTGAGGCAGGAGAATCGCTTGAACCTGGGAGGCAGAGGGGTTGCAGTGAGCCAAGATCACGCCACTGCACTCCTGCCTGGCAACAGAGTGACACTCCATCTCAAAAATAGTAAAGGAGCCAGGTGCGGTGGCTCACGCCTGTAACCCCAACACTTTGGGAGGCCGAGGTGGGCGGATCACCTGAGGCCAGGAGAGACCAGCCTGACCAACACGGTGAAACTCCATCTCTACTAAAAATACAAAAATTAGCTGGGCGTGGTGGCGGGCACCTATAGTTCCAGCTACGTGGGAGGCTGAAGCAGGAAAATCACTTGAACCTGGGGGGCAGAGGTTGCAGTGAGCCGAGATCACACCACTGCACTCCAGCCTGGGGGACAGAGCAAGACTCTCAAAAAAAAAAAGGAAAAAACAACGGCCACTCCATAAACAGAGCAGCCCCGAGAGCTGCTGGTTGCCCATTTTTATGGTTATTTCTTGATGATATGCTAAACGAGGGGTGGATTATTCATGTCTCCCTTTTTAGACCATAGAGGGCGTTGCCATGGCATCTGTAAACTGTCCTGGCACTGGTGGGAGTGCAGCAGTGAGGACAACCAGAGGTCACTCTCACAGCCATCTTGATTTTGGTGGGTTTTGGCCAACTTCTTTATTGCAACTTGTTTTATCAGCAAGGTCTTTATGACCTGTATCTTACGCCAATCTCATGCTGTGACTTAGAATGCCTTAACAATCTGGGAATGCAGCCCAGTAGGTCTCAGGTCTCAGCCTCATTTTACCAAACTCCTATTCAAGATGGAGTTGTTCTGGTTCACACGTCTCTGACACACCCACCTCAGAATTGTTCCTGAGGATTTGAGGAGATCTCAGGGGCACAGAGCGGGTGCTTGGTGGCAGAGGTATTGCTGTTCTCTGTGCAGCACCTTGCAAATATGGAAGGCAGGAAGGGGAATCTCTAGGGAAGGGTGCCAGGAAGATGGCAGCCTCAGCTGGCACCCAAGTGGCAATCCTGCCAGAGTAACAACACAGCTCACCCACATGAAGCTCTTTCGTGTGCCTGACTCATGCCTCATTTCATGCAAGCCTCACACCAACCCTGGAAGGCCTGAGCTTCTATCCCTTCCAAGCCAAGGTTTAGAGAGAGAAAAGCATATCAGTTAGCTTTTGCTGTGTAACAAACAATCCCCCAAAACTTAGTGGCTTAAGACAAAAACAGGTATTTATTTTGCTCTCATATCTGTAATTTGAGCAAGGATTGGTGAGGCAGTTCATTTAGGCTCCCCGTGACATCAGCCAGAGCATCTTAGCTGGAGGTAGAGGGATCTATTTCCAAGGTGGCTCACAACTGACTGGCCAGGTAGTGCCAATTATCAGCTGGGGGCTCAGCAGGAGTAAGGAGAACAAAGGCCTTAGTGTCTCTCCATGTAGGTCTCTCCATAGTCTGCTTGAGCTTCCTTACAACATGGCCACTGGGTTCCCCCACAGCAAACATCCCGAGAGCAGGATAGAAGTAAATGCAAAAGAAAAGTAGATTGCATCTTTATGACCTAGCTTCAGAAGTCATACAGTGTCACTTATTCAGGACTCACCATCAAGGAACTCACTAAGGCTTGTTCATGTTCAAGGGGATGAGGTACAGACTCCAACTCTTTTCTTTTTGAGACAGGATCTCACTCTGTCACCCAGGCTAGAGTGCAGTGGTATGATCATGGCTCACTGAAACCTCAAGCACCTGGGCTCAAGCGATCCTCCCACCTCAGCCTCCAGAGTAGCTAGGACTACAGACATGTGCCACCGCATCTGGCTTTTTCTTATTGTTAGTAGAGATTAGAGATAGGGTCTTACTATGTCGTCCAGGCTAGTCTCCTGCCTCAGCCTCCCAAAGTGCTGGGATTACAGGCATGAGCCACCACACCTGGTCTATACTCCAGCTGTTTTGTTTTGTTTTGTTTTTTGTTTTGTTTTGTTAGAGTTTCACCTTTGTCGCCCAGGCTGGAATGCAATGGTGTAATCTTGGTTCACTGCAATCTCCGCCTCCTGGGCTCAAGAAATTATCTAGCCTCAGCCTCCTGAGTAGCAGGGATTACAGGCACCCGCCACCACACCCAGCTAATTTTTGTATTTTTAGTAGAGATGGGGTTTCACCATGTTGACCAGGCTGGTCTCAAACTCCTGACCTCAGGTGATCCACCCACCTTGGCCTCCCAAAGTGCTGGGATTACAGGCATGTTCCACCATGCCCGACCCACACTTCAGCTCTTGATGGTAGAGTGGCAAGATTCTAGAGGAGCGTGTAGGGAGAGCAATAGAGCCATGGCCATCTTTAGAAATTACAAATTTTTGGCCAGGTGTGGTGGCTCACTCCTGTAATCCCAAAATTTGGGGAGGCCAAGGCGGGCAGATTACTTGAGTCCAGGAGTTTGAGTCCAGCTTGGGCAACATGGCAAAACCCTATCTCTGCAAAAAATACAAAATAATAATAATAACTGGCTATGGTGGTGCACACCTGTAGCCCCAGCTACTCAGAAGGCCAAGGTGGGAGAATCACTCAGGCCCAGGAGGTCAAGGCTGCAGTGGCTGAGCTGTAATTGCACCACTGCACTACAGCCTGGGTGACAGAGTGAGACACTGTGGGAGAAAAGGGAAGGAAAGGGAAGGGAAGTGGGCTGGGCACGGTGGCTCACGCCTATAATCCCAACACTTTGGGAGGCCAAGGCGGGCAGATCACAAGTTCAGGAGTTCAAGACCAGCCTGGCCAACATGGTGAAACCCTATCTCTACTACAGGTACAAAAAATTAGCTGAGCATGGTGGCACACACCTGTAATCCCAGCTACTCGGGAGGCTGAAGCAGGAGAATCGCTTGAACCTGGGAGGTGGAGGTTGCAGTGAGCTGAGATCGTGCCATTGCACTCCAGCCTGGGTAACAGAGTGACACTCTGTCTTAAGAAAAAGAAAAGAAGAAAAGAAAGAAAAGAAAGATAGAAAAGAAAGGAGGGAAGGAAAGAAAGAAGGAAGGAAAGAAGAAGGCAGGAAGACAGGAAAGCAAGATGGAAGGAAGGAAAGAAGGAAGGAAGGAAGGAAGGAGGAAGGGAGGGAAGGAGGAAGGGAGGAAGGGAAGAAGGAAGGAAAAAAGGAAGGTAGGAAAAAATTATAATTTACCACACAAAGTCACTTGCCCATGGTCACATGGCTATTAAACAGTGAGCTAGAATTCAAACCCTACTAGTTGAACTCTAGAACCCTGACACGGGCAGCCAGAGTTCCATATGGGGACCATTCTAGGTATATTAAGCAGAAAAGAACTTAATACAAGAATTGATGGTGCTTGCGAAATCACTGGAAGACGCTGAGAGAGTGGGCCGTAGGCTTCTCAAATTTTACTGTGCAAAAGAATCGGTAGAACAACTTGCTAAAGCACAGCTTCTTCAGTCCCACCCCCTCACAGTTTCAGATTCAGTAAGTAGGTCCAGGGTGGGGCCCAAAACTCCGCATTTTTAACAAGCTCTCAGGAGATGCTAAAGATGTGTGAATAAGACCACAGATTGAGCAGCCCCGGAGTAGGTAGGACCCTTGTGACACCATGGAAATGGGTCACCAAGGAGCAGCTCCCCTGTATAGGGAGAAAGGTGGAGAAAAAAGAGGCAGTTACCAGAACTATGACCTGGAAATGGGTCCAACAAAGCACACAAATTCATGAAAATAAAATGTATAGCTCCACAATCCTGCTTCTCGGCAAGACATATGCACACGCCCACACTGCCTCGCTTCCACTTTCTAAATCTCTCATGAGCATTTCTCATTGGTAGAACCCATTCTGCATCCAAAAACGGAGCTGCAAAGGCATCTGGGAAATGTAGGGTTTGGAGGAGTTTTTTTGCAGCCTCTGCATTAGGAAGACAAGCCAGGGGCAAGGGTAGGTGAGCGGGGACACGTGGAGAGCCAAGCAGTAATGTCCACTACTCTGTGCTAGACCACCAGACCCAGGCTGGAGCCCCAGTCTTCTTGCTAGGCCCTGCAGCCAGGAGTAAGGAGAGGCATGAGGCAAGCAGCATGGACATTAGCCCACAGCAACTTCAGCAGGCCCAGCACAGCACAGCACTGGGTGGTAGACCAGCAATACAAAGGACTTAGGTAGCAGCATAGTGAATAGATCTGGGTTGGGTTCCTCCTCCTTCTTTGCACAAGGCACTTAACTACTCAGAAGTATATAGACTTTTTTTTTTTTTTTTTTTTTTGAGACGGAGTCTGGCTCTGTCGCCCAGGCTGGAGTGCAGTGGCCAGATCTCAGCTCACTGCAAGCTCCGCCTCCCGGGTCCACGCCATCCTCCCCCCCCCCCCCCCCCCCCCCCCCCCCCCCCCCCCCCCCCCCCCCCCCCGGTCACGCCATTCTCCGCCTCAGCCTCCCAGTAGCTGACTACAGGCGCCCCACCACGCCCTAGTTTTTTTTTTTTTTTTAGGACGGGTTTCACCTGTTAGCCAG